TGGAAAGCTGTCATGGTCCCGGGTTTGACGTTCAGCAATGCGGTCATGTGCATGAAATCAGAGATACAAGCAAGATTGGATATTAAACAACATGGCATAGATAGACTTGCTTTGGGAGCACACAGAAATACCACAAATCAGGGTGTATAGGGTGACATGGGACGGACATCATTTGAGTGCAGGGAAGCTAGTAGCAAGATAGATTTTGAGGAGTGAGAAAAATGGGAGAGGAGCGTTGCACTCGGAAAGTTTTCAGCTACTTGTATAAAAAGAATGTTGTTACTAAATGGAGGAAGCGAACTCAAAAATTGTCGAGCAAGTATTTAGACAACAGCAGAATACCAAGCCAAAAGGAAACATCAGTTAAGAAGCAGGTGAAGGAAACGGAAAGAGACATGTGAAAGATTTGAATGCATACGAAAGCATCACTGGAGACCTACCAAACTTTCTTGCAGGAAATTGCAAACGAAAATATTTATGGTAATTATAGGGGTAGTTTTTTTTTGCATAGAGCTACTATACAAACTCTAGAGCAGAAGTTGGGCCAGAAAAGCTATAACCGCCAAAGCACTGACCTCTTGGAATGTTGCGGTTGTTGCCATTACCATACTTGAAAGAAGTGCTAAATATATCGGTTTGAAACAGTCCGATTCTCTCGGTGTAAATCATAAACAAGTGTGCACCCGCATTATACACAAACCGAAATTGTGTGATGTTTATATCAACTACTATTATGCAAGATGCAGTGGTCATTGATGTAATTTGCTGCACGCTGAAAAAAACGTTTGCAGGATTCATTACTAGATGACGCCACTATCTTTGTACCATATCAACTTTTGGGAACGGGATGGGGCCGTGCGGCTTGCCCCCGTTTCTGCCCACTTACTTGCGCCTCATCGTGCGTGTTTTTTGTTGTCATGAGCCAACAACTCGACTTTATGTGTGAGTCACTAACTGTGATGCAACAAAGATCCATAATATAAGAAAAAATGCACATTTTTTTGCAGCATGCAGTGGCAAGTGCGAGCGTACATCACCTGAAAGCTGAGCACTGTTCCATCAAATGGGCACCCAAGTGTAAGTTTTATTGCATGGGCCCTACGGGTATAGTGAACTAGATAGGGGTAGTGGGACGAGCGGAGAGCGAAAGCAAGGAGCGGTGGCGAGGCGAAACACACGGAAATCTACGTGTGTGGTGTGGTGGCACCACTGTGCCTTTCTCCTGAAGCCTCAGCCCAGCAACGTGCGTTTGACAGCAGGCACTGAAGATTGTAGTTGCTTGTGCGTGGTATTTTTGGTGGTGGTAACGCTGAGTTAGATAGAAAAACCTCGGCGGAAGAATTATTATCTTGCGCAAGGTTGTAAAACTGGGTATAACAGAATGAAACTGCTGCCATCTGACTACAGTGAATGACTGGGGTGGTCGTTTTTACCTTCCCAAGATTTGCAGTACTGGGCTGGGCGGTATCGCGATTCACTAGTATCTCAGAGATACTTCCGAGTTCCTAAATCGAGATACATTTGAAAAACGTACTTGTATAGCAATAGTGAAATACTTTTCCTTTGTATCGAATGTATCTATACTACAAAGACATGGTTATCTCGCTACTCTTTTGTCGGAACTGAGCCGCCTATGTGTACCTAATATCGAGAGAAAAGCTTGTACGCGCTTAGCTAGTCAAAAGCGCCCCACCAGTCGGCGACACATAGAAATCAGCGAAGAATCCTCCACACGCACAGAATATTCTATGTGGTTAAGGGTTTGATGCAACTGACGGCAGCATCGAGGAGGCAGTGCTGATGATCTTGGATTTTGCTCAAGGCCTGTGAAGCACAATTTTATTTTTGGGGACAATTTTGGTATAACACAAAGTTGTGTTCACCTACAAGAATAGACAGCCTTTTCCATATCATTAGTCTTGAATTGAAACAGAACCTGTGCTCTGTCTACTGATAGTCTATTTTATAAGCTGCTCTTACTTTGATGTAATTTGTGTAAGCATTCCTAGCAAAACAGGTCGATCATGTGTGTAATAATAAATAAGAGCATACTTTACCTCTCATCAGTGGTGTTTGTTACTGAGTCGAGCGATACAGCCGACTCAATTGCATTTTAATTATCTGCAGCACATTTTTTTGCAAAATTTTCTTCATAATATATTATGTCTTCTATAAATAATGTTCACTACTTGCATTTTTACGTTTGAAACACCTGTATTCAGACATTTGTACTTTCAGGATACTTTTACGAATGTCTCTGCCCAGCCCCGATTTATGCCAAAACATGTGCTCCATTCTTTCGAAGCTACACAGAAAGAGCATTATTTCGTAACATTGTGGCTCTCGTGAAGAAAAACTTCCTCTGCTTAAATGATATTCTATGGGACACTCACAAGGAAGAAATAAACACGAGAATTATTTCGTCTGTGCTATCACGCATTTGCACTTGGACAGAGAGCAAAAAAAAAAAAGCTCAGCGAAATTACTTAAAAGCCTGGGTTTGTGTTTGCACATATAGCTTTTAAAGAGTGTCCTTGAGTAAATTAAAATGGTTTGATCCATTTTTTTATTTGTTTATCTCTCACTGTTCCGTTCTTTTTCTATCTTTTTTTTTTTTGCGAGCACAGCTTTGGCTGTGCAGGGCCGCATTCCGTTCTGTGTGAGTAGCCACGCGTAGTTTCAAAAACTTCCTCCCTGACAGGTTTGTCTTTGAAATCTCACGTCTTCGAGCTTTCAGGACAAAAGTACTTGTTCTCTATCTGTTGACTCAGTTTACAATTTAGGCAATCAGAGGTCTAGTGTCGGCGTTAAACGTATCGCACTCGTCATTTGAAAGTGCGGCAAACAAGCGCCCACTGCGGCGCGTTTCAAGATGGATGGATTTACGGATTGATGCGGCTGTACCCTTTAGATAGGGCAGAGGATAGCGCCACCAAGCCATAATACTTAGTGAACCAACAACTAGATTTATCTTTTTCCCCTTTGAATAGTGAAGTATAGGACTGGTACTTTGCAGTGAATGGTTTAATTTTCACTCGTGCCTTGACTTTAGCCACCAATCAGATAACCTCCTTCTAGTTAATGCTACTCGCTCAAAGTCTATTTTGCTCTCCCTGTCTCTAAACCCCAGTGTTGTAAAAAACTTTGCCATCATCCTGAACTATAGGGTGAAGCCCGTTAAAGAACATTATCAAGTGTTCGGCAGTTTCCTCCTCCTCTCTGCATGCACAGCATACCGTGTCTACCCTTTCGTATTTGGCCCAATATGTCTTGGTTCGCAATACTCCTGTCCTGGCCTCAAACAGCAGAGAGGAGAAAGGCGCTGCCTAGTGGTTTCCGTGAAAACGGCCTCACCAAGAGGATCGCCCTCATCCCACTACCCCTATCTAGTTCACTGTACTATGAGTAGCTTTTCCTCTAGAGTCTGCATATTAACTCTATGGTTCTCTGCTGTTTGAGGCCAGAATGGGAGTATTGTGAACCAAAATGTACCGAGCCAGATACGAAGGCACAGACACATTATGTAGCGCGTGTGCAGAGGAGGAGGATACGACTGAACATTTGATAATGTTCTATGACGAGCTCCACCCAACAGTCCAAGATGATAGCGGGAAGTTGTTCAAAAGCATTGGGGTTTAGGGACAGTGAAGGCAAAATAGACTTCAAACGGATAGAAATAACCAGGAGGAGGTTAATTGATTGGTGGCTACCATGAAGGTGCGAGTGAAATTCCGTTCTTCAAGACATAGAGATAGTACTTTATGGCTAGATGGCGGGAGCCGCCGCCCGATCTAAAGGGCACAGCCGGATACTTCCATCCATTTGTTCATTTCACTTTTTTTTTTCATTTTTGTTACCTTAGTTTCGTATGTAAACACTAGAACAGCGGCGAAAAAATTGGGCTCCAAGGAAATCGCGCAGTGCTACCAGACCGGACCTGCATAGAGTGATTACTGGAAGGTGCACCTTCTGTAATGCACACGCGCCGCAGTTCGTGCTTCATCGGACGCCGATTGTACAGCCTTGAGCAACAACGCTGCCGAAAGCGAAACCCACGCGACAGCAAAGAAGCCGAGGCACTAGTACCGAGAGATGATCCGATGCTACGAAGGAAAAAAAAAAAAACGTCTCGACCAGAATAGGATGCAACTCCTTTTGTGCATTTCGCCGCCAAAGCCGGACTGACTTGAACGACGGCACCGAAGAGAAAGGAAAACTGGGCAGAGATGGCGCCACAGACATTCCTCCCTCGCTTCCGGGGAGAAGCGAGCGCACCTTTTCCCGAGGATACGTCAAATATGGCGGCACCCTGACGAGCGAGCACCCTTCGAAAAGCTGCAGACGTCGACGCGGGTCGATTGACTGAGTAACACACACCTTAGGACGACACGAACATTTAGACGCACAGCATGCACACGATAAGCAAGATGCTTACGGAGGCTATGGATCCCGAAATGACGCGACGACACAATGGCGTTCTTTAGACTCTGGTACGAATTTCTCGCACCGCGTCGCGAAGTTCCCTTAGATCCATCGGGCCTCATCTCTAGTGCGCCAAGAAATGGTCGTCTCCGTTATACGGTAGTCAGTGCAAGCAGTACGAAAAGGTTGACGAACGCTCTAGGTACGATTGCTGGCCACACAACGACGTTCGTTTTTCAACGCAAAGCAAAAATATGCGCTACTTTAAGCCTACGACACGGTGATGAAACAGTAGAACCACAAGGCCATCGACTGCGCTGTCCGTAAAGCAGCTCCTTCACAGACGTGTCAGACGTGTAAGTCCGTTCGCAAAAGAAAATGCCCTCGTGACAGCGCAGCGCAGGCACAGGTGGCCTCATCCAACTTGGCCTGCTCGGCGACGTCCCCGCAAGCATTCTAAGCACTCCACGACGCCCACACGTCGCCGAAAAAACTAATCTGAACGCGGCACCATCGACACCGTTCACGCGAGGCCTGCGACAAGCGTCTCGAACACAGGCGTCGCCAGGTGTGCTTACCTGAGTTCTGACGAGCCGCTAACTACGGTGGGAGCATATCTCGCGCACGGGTTGCGCGAAAATATCTCCGCAAGTGGATCTGCTCCTGATGTATGTTCGGTTTAACGAGGAGCATCCACTGGGTTACACAGAAGGAGGAGTCGGTAGCTCGCGCCGACGGTTCAGTAGCTCGTATGTATCCTTTAGGTGAACGATCACGCACGCACACCTCCAAAGCCGTGAATATGCGAGCACCTTAGCACTCCAGACACTCGCGATACACACACTCAAATATTCGCAATACACAAATGGCGGCCATAACTGCGCGGGGTTCTCATAGCTACTTGCAAGGACGCTGCGCTTGGTAATACCTACCGCTATGCTGTTTACACAAAATGTTGTTTTAATGTTTTTACACAAAAATGTATAATTGTCAAACAATAAACACTAATTTTGTTGAAACTAATATTTCTATGTGCAGTATGGCTCCTGTTGACACTGTCTTCTGCACCTTTAGACAATGCAGTCCTAAAACGCATGAAACTAAAAAGCCACCTAAACATTGTCTAATATTAGCGAAGTAAGAATGTTTTCTGTTGTCTACCCTGTGCAAGAAGACCAAGGTTATGGTGGCTAGAAGTAGAGGTGTGCGCCGAGGCCACGGCCTTCCTCCGTGGCCGAGGCGATTTCGACCAGCGGCGGCGTGGGGGTCGTCAGAGTCGGCGGCGGCGGCGTTGTCGGCGCACGCCGATTTTTTCATCGGCGGCGGCGTGCGGCCAATTTTCGTCGGCGGCGTCGGCGGCGCAGAAACCGAAACTGAAAATTCAAAACGCTCTTCTGCCACAAGTTACTGAATTCGTTGAAATTCAGGGATTTTCATCCAAATATCATAAATGACACTACACAGATGTGTCGACATCCCGATGAATGCAAAGCGTTTTGTAAAGTAGTTTTTATTTTGCCTTCATAAAAAAATAATGCGTATTTTAATCTATGTCCATGTTCTACCGCAAATGTGCTGCACTTTGCTTTTTTTCAATTTAAAATGCAGCAGTTTGTTGTTGTTGTTGGCTACGTCATACTTTATGAAACCTTCTTTCATTGAACAATGAGCAAGCAGTGACGCGCGTCACTCATTTCGCTTTTTCCGAATCCGATCTTACTTTTACACTGTACGCTGCATAAAAAAGAAGCACCTCTGCTTCGAGTTTTCTTGTTGCGATTGCAGGAAACCGCTTTTCTGAGTATCTGTCATGCTTCGAATGTAACTTTCCTTCGAACGAATCAAAATACCTTCTTTTCACAATGTGAGAATCTTTTATGCAGTGGTATAGGATGTGGAAGGAAACAAATCTGCGCATTTATTCAACTAGTTCTCAGCACGGTGTTCAATGAATGAAGTGTAGACATGGGCGTGGGCGAGGGGGGTGGTGCAACACGGACACTTGAACCCTTCAAGCTCCACCAGCACTTGCTACCCACTCTAGCGACACCAAATCGACCCGCTCCCTCAGTCGTGATGCAAGTTGAAAGAAGGGTTTGCATCCCCCCAAGACAAAAACCTGCCGATGGTCATATGTGCAGATGAGAGCAAATGCAATATTTGCTCAGATACACAGCCCATACTGGTCACGAGCTGGGCGTCCGTGGACCACGTCTGCAGAGAACGTTGACTCCCCGACCCCTTGGTGTTTGGTCAGGGGAGGGGGACACCCCCTGCAAGTGGGCCCCATTAAAATTGCTCTTAAAAACGTCCCAAATAAGAATGCTATGTATAAAACATTCAACTTTCTAATGCTTTTTTATAGCGTGTACACGTGCTCGATACCCATCAGATGTGTGAGACAATCGAAATAGCAACTGCCACTCTCGACTTGTTCCGGAAAAGACTCAATAGAAGAATGCAAATACGAGTGCTGGGAAACTATGTTCGTTTGTATATTTGATTTCTAGGCATGACTTAAATTCTTATGTAAATAAAAATAAAACCTAAGACATATTAAAAAAGGCTCCTATTGCAAGATGTGTGTTGCAAGACGTGATTTTTCAAGACTTACATCTCTGCAAGGCACATCTGGTGTCACAAACTTGCAAAGTGCCCCCCTTTTCCCACGACATTTCCCGATACCCCCCTCCCCTACCTCTCTAATAAAAAGGCATCAATGTAGGCCTCCGTGATTGCCTACTGGTGCGTGGCGGGCCATTCCGGTGGCTAGGACCAACAGTGCCGATTTCGACTTGCTTTATTTCAGGTGCTGAAGGATCAAGAAAAGGCCGATATTTGTAAATTTCTTGAGAGTTCAGTGATAGTTTCTTTTTGAATACCGTGGATTATTGAACATCACTTTGAGTGTAATCCTCCAATGAAAAAAAAATGGTTTCATCCTGTGTCACTGCAGAGTCAGAAGCCATCACATGTGCAGGCATCATTAAGCTTATATATAACATTGCAAAGATTCAGTACATTTGCACAAATAATTCTCGTTAATTGAACATTTCGAGTATAATCCTTGCTTGGGTTAGTATGTGTGAAACATAAAGTTGAGTTTTAAAAATTCTCCTTGTGGGTTTCTGCAGCAAAGACACATTGATTAAAACTGATGACTTCGGAGCTACGGCAGAGGTAACATTCGTTATGTTTTTTTCAGTTACGGTAACAGTAGTGCGTTACCTTTTTTATGTATTTATATAACGCCGAGCCGTGAAACGTTCCCCTTTTTTTATTAGAGTAACGAGTGAGGTATTTAGTTACTTTTTACTGTAACGGATACACCACTAAATAGACTTACAGGAGTGATGTCGGCCCACACCATTAGTTGTTGTTGCGGTCTATAGGCTGGCTGTAAACATTACATGAATATATTCCTTTCACCCAGCACGGGATAGGGAAGGGTTGCTTGACCATTGAGGATCTCGACCTTTGAGAAATACACAACAGCTTCCTAATGATATGCATATCATCCCACCGAAGCGTGCACTTCGTTTCGTTAAAGTTTACAGTCAACGTGAGTGCTGTCGTCACGCCGTATGTTTTAGGTAGAAATTTAGCCTACTCAAAATACCCAAAGACGTCGATCCACCTTGCAACGCGTGGCCACCCGCTGACAGTCCTGTATGAAAATGGCATCCACAGTGAAACATGTTGCATCTGCTGAAATTTTATCGCAACATTATTATACTGCCACGCTAGCTTGTATTTTTATGTCACTGTCTTGCGCAAAGGCACTGCCGTAGTGGTTCAGTAGCTAAGGTACTCGGCTGCTGACCAGCAGGTCGCGGGATCAAGTCCCACCGGCGGCTGCTTTATTTTCGATAGAGGCGAAAATGCTGTAGGTCTATGGGCTGCGATTTCGGTGCATGTTAAAGAACCCCAGGTTGCCAAAATTTCTGGAGTCCTTCACTGTACGGCATCTCTCATAATCATGTGGTGGTTTTGAAACGTTAAACACCACATATTAATCAATTGCCTTGCGCAAAGGACGCTTGGCTGTCTGCGAAAACTCTAGATTATTTTAGAATCTTCTGATAAGCTTGAGACACCTACGATATGGATGCTACGTGTATAAATGGCGACGTACCTTCGCGCAGATCATATTACCAACGACCAATGCTCTGATTACCGCTATCTGTGTAAAGCACGAATTTCTAGTACTTTGCACTTTCCTATGCACATGTTCACTCAATAAAAAGTGTCGTCTTGAGCAACCCACGTACCATCTTCTTTGACGTCGCAACCACGTGGCAATACCGTAAGTGAAATGAGAACGCTGAAATGTTCGATACAAAACAGTGAGATGGGGCGTAAGTGCACGCCTAAGTTTGATTTGAGATGCGTATACCACAAGCTATTTTCTTCTATATGATGCGGATTCGTTAAATTACTGTGAAGTTGATAGTCAAGAGACAACTGGAAAGAGACAGTGGAGACGAAAAGTGATAGGTATTGACGTAAAGTTTGATCGGTCATTCCACGCCAAACGTCCAAGGCTGTTTTGGCAACTATCTAAGGTGTATTCGAAAAATGTCGGGCTGATTTACTCTATTGAAAGCAGTCTATTGCGAAAATGTTTTGCAGAGAAAAATGTTTTTGGTCACCTATATGTGACCGAAATTCCGGCAATAGGCTGGGCCCTATAACGAGTCCTAAGATAAAAGAACATTTACTGAGTGAGTCTATGTGGGCTCCATTTATTTTGCTGACCTATGGTTCTGAATATTTAAAACCTCCCACGATGGCGTGCCTTGTTGTCGTATTGACGTTCCGGCTTGTGAAGCCGAAAATTTTATTTTTCAAGTTATAAGACAGTTCATATCTCCCCCCTCCCCGGAACTCGTTCTAGGGTTGGTCCTTTGATAAAAACCAGTCTTATATCTTTAAAAAATGCATGGATATCAACTATTCATAACTCTCATTAAAGATGTAGAAATGAAATGGCCATCACTGAATGACTGATGAGGTGAAATATTAACATTAAAAAGCATAGTAAACGTGACTAAAAATCTAATTCTACAAAAACAATGTAATCTGAACTAATGATGTCACCACACATTTAAAACCTAATGCAATGTATATTGCATACCTGCAAGGTGCAGTTATTCGAGCGCATTTTGCAGTGAAATTTGGTCATGGAGTTAGTCCCGTTCACGGTGGTGCTATTTTTAAATTTAACGGTTGAATATCTAACGAAGCATTAGAAAATTCTTTGCGTGAAACCCGTATTTTTTTTTCGACGTAATTAGGATTGTATACATTGTGCTGGCACGAAGTTTAATGCAGGTGATGTGTTTATAGAGTACACCGTTCGGTGACTGTGGTAAAATAGAAACAGCAATTTATGTTAATTCATGCTACAAAACTCATGTGACCTGCTCCCAAAGAACAGAAGAATGCATAACGAAGGGCGTTACTAACGAACGTAAGAATTAAATAATTCTATGTCTTTAATGTTGTTTCTGTAGTCCAATCTACAAACGTTCGTATTAAACGAGCATGACGGTACGAAGGCATGGAATTGGGTTCTGCAACATGTTGTGACGCATAGTACCACTTCAGGTCTCCTTTATTACGTGACATTAGAATCCACACCAAGCTTGATCTATGATTATGTACCTAATCAACGGAGAATGAGTGCTAAGCTCCGGTTTCATTATTAATGTGGCTTCAAAGACGAGAAAGCAGCACGATTCGCAAGCAATCGAGCACCCGTTCTGTTTTTCTATTGCGTTGAACTGCTTGTGCCCTCAGATGCCACTTCAGTTTTTTTTTAATAATTATGGCGATTGGGAAAGTTGTGAGCGCCAAACAAGACGTTAACAAGAA